CTAACGGGGCTCCGCTGAAAAAGTTGCACACGTGCGTAAGGCATTATCTATCCATGCCCAAGAGATCCCTTATTCGAAAACACAAGGCTACAATCAGGAAAGGCTTCCAAGACCCCCCCATCCCTTCTACCAGACAATACACATTTCGTCCACAAACTGCTCTGAAAAACACGTGGAAGACCGAAAAGTACCCTAATCCTCATAATCATACCTTGCCACTGAGTCTGTCATGGGGAACCTGAGTAGCAGAACAATCTTTCCGAAACACTCACTGTGTTTCTACTCGCGGGGGCCCACGCTGCAAAAACAATTTCTGACACCCAGCTTCGCGCGGTGAGTTCAGTGTAACCCGTGCGGCGTCCGCAACAAAGAAACCAGTAGGCTTGCATGGTGTTTGAAAAGCTCAGCCTTGAAACAAACCGCCCGTGGCAAGGTAATGGCAATTGACAGCCCTGCGCAAAAGCACGTGCGCGAGGCAAAGGCAATATGGCTAAACTTGCATCTCTGACATGGCTGGCAACCTAATGTCATGTCACTGAGTTCGCAAATGCTTGTCAATGCTGCGGGCATCGCAGATCCTGTGTTTTTCCGCTTCCACCATGACGGTTTCATGGCTTTGTTTGCAATGTGTCACACAGCCCCATAGCACGACCGTTTCAATAAACTTGCTCACCCTGAGCCTTTGGCTCGGCAAGCATTGAAACACGCCCAACTGATCGAAACTGAGTTCTTTCACGCCTTCTTGGGCGAGGTGTTCTCATCCTCTTCGGCTGGCTCCTGCTTGACCCTCCAAGTGAGCCTCCACCGCACGCCTTGCTCATCCCCATCTCCTGCTTTGCCACGAGCACCGTCTGCTGGCAAGCCCTTGGCCGCAGTGTTCGTCACCACCGCTTGCCGAAGAGCAAGGGGGCCACGGAAGGGACGCCAGCAACACACATTCCGGACTGCCACGCCACGTCATGACCGCCTTCTGCTCGGACGAATTCTTCTCCAAAACCAACTCCTCGACCGGGACGTCCGTGCCATCCTCGGCGGCGAACACGGACTGCTTCGGCACGCAGAGCTTCATGTTGTGGAAGCGGTGCGTCACATACAGGTTGCCATCCTTGTAGCCCAGCTGGTAGACGCCGTCCTGGCCTCCCAGTTGGCTGGGAGCCTTAGAGATCTGGCACGGTTGCCGCGCTCCTCGCTCATGGCCACCAAGGTGCTCTTCAAGGTTGGGATGTCGCGTGCTGCCAACCAGAGGCTTGGAGATGTCGAAGGTAGAGGCAAACTCGACGAGGTGACACAGCTTTTGGCAGTAGTTCGCCGCGCTGCAGTTTGAGTGGCGCACAGCTGCTCGAGGATGGGCGCTGGTGTTCTCAAGACGGGTGTACGTGTGAGGCAACCAGTTGGGTCCTGGACCTCCCGGTCTTGCGGACCTTGGCCGGGGACTCGTTGTCCTTGAGGCCGTCCTGCTCGGCTTCCTCCTTGACGCCGTCGTCCTCACCATCGGGCAACTCAGTCTTGGACCTGGATTTGCGCTTGCCAAAGGAATCCAGCTTGGGCAAAGTCACACCCTTGGACTCCAGGTGCTTGACCACGCCCAAGATCAGGTCTGGCTTCTGCTTCAGCACGTCGTTGATGCTGCGCAGATGGTGCTTCTGCAGCAAAGCATCGGCTTTCTGATGCAATGCTTGAAATGTGCCCTTGCTGACTTCGGAGGCATCACTAGGAAGAGGGATCCTAAGTTGAGTTCTAGGGCCAAGTTCGCTACTGGGAGCCTCTGGTGGCCGCATGTTCACTTCCGAAACAACACCGCGCACATCTCTGCCTCAAACCGCAAGGTATCACGCTGCTTGTAGGACATGCAAGCTGCAGCGGCAAAGTCTGACAACGCAACCGTGTCTTGCAGCTACAAACAAGTCTGCGCCGTGACTCAAGTGCTCAAATTTAGGACTCATGGCTCAAACTTTACATGCGCTTCTCGCTTCCCCCTGCGCACTTTGCACAATGTGTGTGTGTGTGTCGCGCTCCGCATTTGCACGCCACGCTGTTGCATGGGCACGCATTCATGCGGCTCACGCGCTGGGAAGAACATGTGGCTTTAGTAGCTGCGCGCGCACATGCGTCACCAAGCACCTGTCGCGCCGCGCCGCACGCGGGCCTAGATTCCACCCAAAAAAGGTGTCAGGAAACAGCCATGTCATGTACTTCTTGCCTTGCCAGGTTATCCATTGCCACTTGCGCAGTTCATTGCTACACGCGCGCTGAGGCATGTCCCAACAAGCGGCTGACGACCGTGCGTTGGCAATCTGCGTCTGCAACGCAGCGGGCCTACATGCGCAGCCACGCGGTCACCCCACACAGCCTCTAGTGCTTGCGTTTGGCTACTGCACGGTCAAGTGAAACACCCGGGCGTGCCAAGCACGCTTGCGCAAATAGGCGTGCAACGTGGCTCCCTGACCGCAAACGACTGTTCGGGACACACGCTACCTGGCAAATCTCACAAAAAACATAGCCTTGCAAAAGAAAAATGTTTGCACCCGTGGAAAGTTTGAGCATTTCCTGTCTCACCTGCCGCCAACATTGCAACAACCACTCCTGGCAAAAACGCATCGGCTTACATGGAGTTCGCAGTCCTGGAAAAGGCCTGATCTATCCAAGCTACCTGAAGTGTTGTGCCCACAAAGGCATAATGGTGCGAAGCCTTTTGGCACCTGCCCCTAACTGAAATCTCAAACACTGTGACGGCAGCTGCCTGCCCAAACAAATGTTGTCTTTGCGTTGGGCATCTCCACTCTTCCAAGACCAACGAAACAGCCACTCAGTGGCTAGAGCAAATGCCTTGCCACTTTGTTTCGCCACTTCGCAAGTTCCAGCTCGCACACCAACCCTCAAGCCGCAGATAGTGTCTAAACCTGAAAAGGACAAAACAAGCATCCAAAACAGCAAGCCCCACCTAATGAACCCCCTGCTATAGATCTTCCCGACAAGTGATGACACAGGGTGTAGAGCTCTATCTTGGTCCTGCGTTGAGGAGATCTCATGGGCACTTGCCCTTTCTTGCCAAAGACAATTATCACTTCTGGCTTTGCGGACTGGTCACTTTGAGTGTGTGAAAGTTGACAGCTTGTGGGGTTTGGCTCGAGTCTTGCACCAGCCCTGACCCGAGACTTCCTTGGCGTGGAATGTCTTGGTGTTTTCGTTGGTGCACAGCAGGCTGCTCATCCTACGCTTGTCATGCAGTCTTGACAATGGCTGGAGATAGAGGCAGAACATACCAAGAAAATTGTCAACCATTGCTGCGAGAGAGTAGTCCGGATTGCACGGGTTGCTTGGGCAGCGTGAGACAGTCGGGCTTAGTCTGCATGATCCTTGCCCGGTAGCGCAATTCATTGGAGCACAGCGTCATGGGAGTTGCGGCAGTACAAGGTGAGGGCAATGGTTTGCCTGTCCGCATGCCAACTGCTGATTGCCAGGCATGTGTGCTAGACCTTGATCCTGTGTTGAGAGGATCTCATGGGCACTTGCCCTTTCTTGCCAAAGATAATAACACTTCTGGGAGTCTGACGGCCGCTGGTGATTTTTGGACCATGCAGTACAAGTCCTCCTCTGTGGACTGTGCACTTTGAGCGGGTGAAAGTTGACAGCCACATGTACCCAGCTTGTGTTTACCGGGGTTTGGCTCGAGTCTTGCACCAGCCCTGACCCGAGACTTCCTCGGCGTGGAATGTCTTGGTGTTTTCGTTGGTGCACAGCAGGCTGCTCATCCCACGCTTGTCATGCAGTCTTGACAATGGCTGGAGATAGAGAACATATTGTCAACCATTGCTGCGAGAGAGTAGTCCGGATTGCACGGGTTGCTTGGGTAGCGTGAGGCAGTCGGGCTTCGTCTGCATGATCCTTGCCCGGTAGCGCAATTTCATTGGAGCACAGCATCATGGGATTTGCGGCAGTACAAGGAGAATGCAATAGTTTGCCTGTCCGCATGCCAACTTCTCATTGCCAGGCATGAGTGATGACACAGGGCGACATAGAGCTCTATCTTGGTCCTGCGTTGAGGAGATCTCATGGGCTCTTGCCCTTTCTTGCCAAAGATAATAACACTTCTGGGAGTCTGACAGCCACTGGTGACTTTTTGACCATGCAGTACAAGTCCTCCTCTGTGGACCGTGCACTTTGAGCGGGTGAAAGTTGACAGCCACATGTACCCAGCTTGTGTTTACCGGGGTTTGGCTCGAGTCTTGCACCAGCCCTGACCCGAGACTTCCTCGGCGTGGAATGTCTTGGTGTTTTCGTTGGTGCACAGCAGGCTGCTCATCCCACGCTTGTCATGCAGTCTTGACAACGGCTGGAGATAGAGAACATATTGTCAACCATTGCTGCGAGAGAGTAGTCCGGATTGCACGGGTTGCTTGGGCAGCGTGAGGCAGTCGGGCTTAGTCTGCATGATCCTTGCCCGGTAGCGCAATTTCATTGGAGCACAGCATCATGGGATTTGCGGCAGTACAAGGAGAATGCAATAGTTTGCCTGTCCGCATGCCAACTTCTCATTGCCAGGCATGAGTGATGACACAGGGCGACATAGAGCTCTATCTTGGTCCTGCGTTGAGGAGATCTCATGGGCTCTTGCCCTTTCTTGCCAAAGATAATAACACTTCTGGGAGTCTGACAGCCACTGGTGACTTTTTGACCATGCAGTACAAGTCCTCCTCTGTGGACCGTGCACTTTGAGCGGGTGAAAGTTGACAGCCACATGTACCCAGCTTGTGTTTACCGGGGTTTGGCTCGAGTCTTGCACCAGCCCTGACCCGAGACTTCCTTGGCGTGGAATGTCTTGGTGTTTTTGTTGGTGCACAGCAGGCTGCTCATCCCACGCTTGTCATGCAGTCTTGACAATGGCTGGAGATAGAGGCAGAACATATGAACATATTGTCAGCCATTGCTGCGAGAGAGTAGTCCGGATTGCATGGGTTGCTTGGGCAGCGTGAGGTCAGAGTTACCGGGTGTGCACCAAGGCAGAAGCCGAGCTGCAGGGCGGCCAGCTTCCCAGATGAAGGTGATGATTGTGCTTGTTGCTTGATGCACCGAGCTGTTGTGGACTGGCAAGGAAGAAGGGCTTCTTCTTAACATTGTTCTCACCAACAGGGGCAGGCTTTCCGATCGCTTGCTGTCTTTAGCTGGCTTGGATTGCACTGTGCTAGTCATGCCCCTCGAGGATTCGTTGCCACCCAGTCAGACAGCCGCTGCCTTGGCACAGAAGTTTCATTGATCAAGAGTTGTCGATTCATGCTGCATGCGGCATTGCTTAAGGCTCAGATTGGCTTCCAAACTGCAGGGCTTAGCATGAAGCCAAGGTGCCTTTTGCGTCCACTCTGCAGTGCAATGAATCTGAATGTCCAACTGAGACTCAGCTGCATGTCCTTTGAGACCTGGCTGATGTGCACATTTGGTCCAAATGTAGATGTCAAGGTGGAGGCGCGCTCTGACGAATGGTTGGCGCTGCTGGAAATGTAGAGCCTGTCAAATGGCTGATGAGTTCCCCAAGCCAAGATCCTGATTTGGTAGTACTTTTGCAGCTCTGGAGAACAACTTTGGCTTGTGTCAGGAACTCATAGTTTGTAGCCTGGGTTTGCGCATGCGCTTGCATGTGAGGGTTTACTCAAAGGATTGGCTGTGTGTCAAAATTAGGGCCTCTCCAACTGGGTGATTTGTTGTTGCTTTGCTTTCGAGCGAGAGAAACTCCCAATCTTGAGACACAGCGAATCTTCAATCGGGGGAATTGAATGCCAATGATCAACCAGATTCTGCAGCCAAAGACAGCACCATTTCAGGAAGCGACACATGTTTGCATGTTTCTAAACCCTGTTTCATTCGGCAGTTGATGGTTGATGGCTAGGATCGCGGGTGAGACAAAAAGAGTGCATGCAGTGCATGCAGAGCTGTCTTTCGACCTTTTGCGTGGCTGCATGATGGGACACATTGGGTTGCTTTGAAATCAGCGCTGAATGATCATGTCATGCTCATCCAATGATGAAGTACTGGAGAACCGCCCGGGGCGCTTCCATGCGATATTGCTCCAACTAATGGTACTGTGCATGTACAGCCCAAGACCTGACCAGGATCAATCAATGAGAAACTGTTCGGGCATTCGTTTTGCCAGCTTGTCGAAACCTTTGACCAGATCAGGTGTCATCATACATGCAACTTGGAATGGCGAGGTAGTTGGCGATGGGAAATCAGTGCTGCTGTGAAGATGACCCCAGCGGCAAGCCACTGGATGCGAACGTTCTGGTTTGGAGACCTGAAACTCAGCCTGGGCCGCTCGGCAAGTCATGCAAAGTCTGCCTTGATTTGGGCGTGGCTCAAAATTTGGAAGCTAGGGTTGTGAGTCTTTGTTTCCATTTACCTCCACTTGCCTAGGGGCCATTTTGGGTACATTTTTTGAGCCACAGCCTTTTGGGACTGGACTTCCAACGCCTCAAGCCAGGCTTTCGGAAATGCACACCCCGAGCACCTCGCGTGCGTCTAGGAACTCATCAAGTTTTAATTGCGTTCAGGTGGGTGCACGCTCAGACATCCTGCCTACAGCTACCTATGTACCGAGTCATGCCATGCCGCCAATGTCCATGTGTTCCATGGTCCCCGCCACTCTCTCACTGCCACTGCGGGCCTTCATCTCCTGCACCCTAGATGTCGGCAGTCGGTGCGACTGAGTAAGTTTTGTGGCAAGCTAGTATGGACCCGCACATCAGGGAGAGGGTTGTAGACCAATATTGGTAAGGCTTGTAAATATTGATTCCTCGCCCTTGACAATTACAGTGTGAGTTGCATTGATCTCAGCGCTTTAGAAAAATACAGTCTGAAAGACAGGGAAGCTCGAGAAAGCCGTTTATCTAATTTAACTATACTTGCGTTCTGGTACCTTGAGACGTCATTTGGACGACGGGTTGTTTGTATCAGCATTCATTTTTAAAACCTTACCCTTACTTACAAGGGTGAGGACCATCCGGTCCATGCCAAGAGGCCTCAACTTATAGCCATGCCAATGTGGGCAGTCAAACTGGGGCCTCCCAAATGCTTTCTTCGATGTCTTACAGCCTGCGCGGCTTGAGCGCAACCGCTTCTTTTGTCAGCAAGTTTGACCAAGGAAGCGTGTTGAGCCAACAGCAGCAGACTTGCTGCTGAGAGACCGGCAGCTAGATGCTGCCCTTGACAAGATAGGCTGGGGCGCTTTTTCTGTATCATGCCATGGTTGTCGGGCCAGCCTAGGTGTTGGGTTTCTTCATTATTGGATGTGAGATTGGGTGAATGACTGTATGGGAACGGTTCAAAATTAAGCCACCAGGGGACCGCAAGTTTCAGTCCACGTTTCCATTTCCCAGGGCAAGCCATTTGGGGGTTACCCTATTTTTGACCCACAGCCTTGCAACCCTGTCAGCTCGGCACCAGCCAGATGAAGTTCCACCACAGGGAGTGCCAAGAGCGGCACTCATGGAATCGGGACATCAAGCGCACAGTTCAGCTGATGGGAGACTTGCCCGTGTAGAACTCCTGGCTGTGGGTCACAACCAATGGGATCCCATTTTGGGGTAGGTGCACCACCCATGTTAGAACCTATTTGAGTGGGGATTGGGATGTTCACTGGGGCTACGGACTTTTGACCCATGGCCACCTAAGTGCTAGTGTGAGAAGATGGCCATGGCTGCACGCTGTTGATCTAAGGAGAGGCTTTGAAGAAGATCGGCCTGCACCTGAAGCGATGCCGAGAACCAGCAGGGGTGCAGATTCCAACGAAGGATTGCAAGTGCCGAGCGCTGACAGCAGTCGCTATGACCCGGGTGATGTCAGGCCCACGCACCAGGTGCAGTGGGTAACGCAATACGCAGGAGATGTGGCTGAGGTGACGGTGGAAGCCAGAGTTGAGCAGAAAGCAGAAGCGCAGTTGACGGCGCCGCCATCAGTTGAGCAGCGGCAAACAGCTGAGCAGTGGCCAACAGTTGAGCAGCGGCTACTAGTTGAGCTGCGGCCACCAGCCCATGCTGAGCCGCCAATTGCCGAGTTGCAGCCAACAGACCGGCATTCAGAAGAGCTGAAGCCTGCAGAGCAGAGTCAGCCAACATGGGTGCATGCCGAAGAGAAATCAAGCGAGCAGGCACATCCTCTCGTGTTCTAAAGTTTTTGCATTCCATGAATTGCTGGGGGGTAGGGAAACTAGGCGAGTATATCTTGGCGAGGCAGAGTTGGCAAAGACGGACATGAAGGCAGTGGCGTCGAGGGATGCAGGATATCAAGAAGTGCAGGTGGAACATGCTCAGCCGGCTGAACATGGTATAGATGCTGACGTGCCCGGAGCAACCGATGACGATTTGCCTCTTCTTCTTGTACGTTTTCGCCTGGAGGATGGCAGCTTCCAGGCCGCTTGATGGAGTGACTGGAGGTTTCCACTGGTGCAGTTTCCGCCTGAGGACGTCTATTTCTTTGCCGCCCCGTTCGGCTTTGATCTTACCAAGAAGCAGCCTTTGACTGTGAGGACGCGCCTTTTGCCCGTGAAGTGTTGCTTGCAACCGTGGCAGGGGCATCAAGCCTGGTAGCTATGCGGAACAACTTGGCGTTGAGGCGGTCGGCAAGCTTCAACGCGACTCGCATGGTTCAACAGACAGTTTAGGATAGAATGAAAACAATATCATTCTTTCATCTTATTCATCTTATGCTCTCTTTCCCAGAGCTTCCAGGCGTCTTTTGGGCTCGCAGGTGGGATGGGTTGTGCATCAAGTGGCGGATGTGGACGTCTCGAATATGCTTCTTGGCGACTCCAGCTCATCACTTCCAATGATGATCGTGAGTTTCTGGGAGCAGGGTCGTGCAGCCGAGGTCAGCACCAGAAATGGTCAGGGTACTTATAGAGCAGAAGAAGAAGATTCTGGGAAACTGAGGCGGGCTTTTCGCAGATTCCACTGTGAGCAGTGCTTGGGTTTGTGAGTGTTTGCATGAGTACTATTCAAAGTGAAGAATTTGCAGTGGCAGCACTTCTTTGCAGCTGAGCAAGGACTACTTCTTGGATGCTGGCTGAGTTACACCAACCTTGGTAGTCCCATGTGTCCTCACATTCGATTTTTTCCTGTAGCTCGCTCCGGGGGCTAAGGATGCAAACCTTGGAACAACGGGCTGTAAAAAGTAGTTTGGGTGGGGGGGTAGGGTTTGAAAAGGAGCGGCCTTGAGGTGGCCAGCTGTTTCACCATACGTAGCTCCGTGGTCAACCAAAGACGTTGGTCGGTGGTTAATTCAACCACTTGCGCAAGAAAACACGCGGATGCCATTTCAGCAGACCTCTCGAATTCCCTCCGGGCATTGTGTGCATTGAAGTGCTTTGCTGTGTGTCGCTGCCTATGCTCAGCCTGCGTTAGCTGGCAGACTCTGGCCTTTCTGTTGCTTCTCAGTTGCAACAGCTAACTTTGTGTGTGTGTTGTTGCAGTCACTGAGAACAGCACACCTCTACTGTGCTGCTCGGTTTGCCTGTGCTTGAGAATTCATCTTAGGTTCGAGAAACACAGTGCGAACCCTTCCATGTGATTGACGCCGAGGACTTTCGGTTTTGGCTGGGCAATTTTCTTTTCCCCCTGGTTTCCCTGAGTGCAGCCAGCCAGCTTGCCTTGAAGTGTGACCAGCCTTGCTTGCCGAAATGCGCTTGACAGCTTGGCAGTGACTTTGGACTCTCAGGTCGAGAGATGTGGGTGTGGGTCAAAATTAGGTACCCAAAATGGCTTGCCCTGGTGCATGGAAGCATGGACTAACACCTGCAGTCCAGTTCCTGGTTTGATCTTGACCCCATACCCATGTCATCGATCTCGCCAGGACAGCTTCACCCGGTGATGAGCATCATGAGGCATGAGGCCGGCGCCTTGAATGAGACGCCTCAGCTGCGTTTTCACTCGCTGACTTCCAGGTCTCAAGCTTACTTCGTCACCGCTCCATGAGTGGCCTGGAGTGGCGGCGGCTCAGAAAGCATTGAGTTCGCACAGCCCCGGCTGAAAGTTGAGCAGTGCAAGGCAGCTACTTTTATTGTGGATACCGCTGGCATGGCTTCTGTACTTCATGATGCTGGCCGTTCTGACAGCGATCTACACTGCAGTCCGAAAGCGAAGTGCAAGGCGGGGCACGCATTCTCTTCAGGTGCCCCTCGACTTTTCGATCTTTCCGTGCAATCTTCAGCAGCCTTGGTTTCCATGCCAGGAAGCCCGTTTGGGGATTCCAACTTATGTCAAACATGGTTCTTCGCAAGCCGGATATGACAGGAAGCTTACGGAGGAAGAGGTCAACGAAGGTGATGATGCCGCCGTGAAGCGTGCGCACAGCAGGCGCGGGACTGGCTACAGCACTTGGTGGTGCTTCATGGTTTTTCGCGGAAGCACCATTCTTTCCTGTTTGCCCAAACTTGGCGTGGGCTTGGGGGACTGCTAGTTGCGGCAAGCCTTGCCGTGCAAACACATTACTTGGTTTTAAGCTTGCTATATTAGTCGTGGATGGATCAGAGCAAGGCAGCCCGAAGGTGCAGAGAAACTCTGAGTGCAGCAGGTTGGCCAACAAGCACAGAGCCTTCAGAATGCTCAAACACTGGAGTCTCAAGAGCGGCGTTTCGCACAACGACAACATTAGCGTCCCCACTGATGCCGCAACGAACATCGATATGGGGCATGCCATCGATGCAGACGGTTCCAGTCCTTCAGAAGCGAGTCAAAGCATTCCCAAACATACGTAAACTACAAAAGTCTCAACAAGTGCACATGAAGTTCCATATGCGCAGATGCTGGGGTTGCTTTCAAGCAAGCCGGCTGATACCCGCTCTCCGCATCCAAGGGAACATGGAAAGAGCATGGGCTTGATCGGCGTGCGCCAATGTGCGTGTTGCTTCAAATCACATTGGCATTTTGTTTCACTGCTGTTGCAGTGTACGTGGTTAATGCAAGCAGTGATACAGTAGCCTTTAACTTAGCATGGTGATGCACAGTCCCGAGCCAGCTAATGTCGGCAACATTGTGAACTCTTGCCGCTTCTATTCAGCATGATAGAGGCGATATCTGCAACAAGAGATACGCCATCCTGTTGTTTGTTTGCGTCCTCGCAAGCCTTCTCTAGACTTGCACACAGACACACACTCAGACACACACGAGCAATCATGAAAACACTAACATGCGCAGGCTGACATGCAAAGCTATAACATGGCAAATGGCAAGCGGGCAAATGCAATCAAAACCCGGGTAATTGAAGGTTTGCAAGGGCAAATCCCAACCATAAATAGCTGCGGTCGCCTTCTTAATTCTTTACATGGTCTGGGTTGACAGCTTGTCACTCGCCGACTGACAAATCTGACAGGGTGTGCATTGTCAAAGCTTGTTGCACTGCATGGTCAACACTTTGCATCAGTGCAATGCAGTAGGCATGCCTCCCTTGCACTGGCACGATGATGCTAACATGAGAACAGCATGTCAATCCCTTTGTAGACCGTTGCAGAGTTGCCGAAGGGTTAGTGATCTTGGAACATTGCTTGGAACAGGCGCTTCTCCACTGTTCCTATGGGCGATGATGAGGAGGACACCACTTCTTCTTCTTCTTCTTCTTCTTCTTCTCTGCCGGCTTAGCGCACAGTTGTATAACTGTGGACATATGTGTGAAGACTCCACAACAGAGCAACCTGTGACCTTGCCAAAGCAAGGGGCTGGCCCAACAAAAGGGGAGAAGCCCTTTCAGTGGGCGCCGCCATTGCAAAACACAAGCAAAACAGCACTCATGAGTGAGACTCGCTTACCCTCGCAAGATCGCGTCCCAGCTCACGCACCATGGGAGGACACCACGCGGCAGGAAACAGTTGCAGGCTCAATGTGTTTGAACAAAAGTGCTAGATTGCAGCAGATCGGAAGAGAGAGATGTGGCACTCCTTGCCTCCGGAATCTCTCGGAAGGCATTCTGTCTGCGCGTTTCCGAGGTCCAATCTGGCTACCAGACCTGGTTCTTTGGATTGTTCCTTTACTGCCTGTGGATTCTGGCCAGTCGCCCAGATGCGAGTTGATGTTGTTCCTCAATCGCATCATGTCCAAGGTCCCCATTTTGTCGCAGGTCCAGCTTGTCCCATTCTCAGCTGAGAGGCCAGCGCGCTGAAATTTGGGCGGCGCCAGTCTGAAGGCTTGGCTGACCTGCGAGCAGTACTTTGGCTTTGGATGGGATGCCACGGCGAAGCAATTTATCTTGATATATGCAACTTGGCCTGTGTCAAGCTGGCTTGCCGAGTTCATTGCCTGCACTCGCAGGTGATCTCACATGTGCTCCTCTTCCTGGCCACAAAGTTCAGCGGTCAAGTGAAGACCTTCTTCCTGCAGCCGAGCCCATTGGCCCCTTGGCTCGGCAGCTTCTCATGCTTCGCATTTTAGCTGCTGAGTGAGGCCGAAGCGACCCACATCGCCATTTTTCCCAGAGCGCCTTGGACCCCGTGCCATTCCGAAACATGGGTCCATTCCGGAAAGAAATGGGTTGGACACGCGACCTGTTCCTGTCGTCCTCGGCTGGCCAAGGACAAGACCAAAGGGCTTGCAAAGTTGGAAGTTGTGCGAGTAAGGCACGTCTGAACAATTCGGAAGGTGATCTTTTGAGCACAGGAACTTGATTGTGGCTTGGTGCTACGCCCTGGTGCGCAGGCACTTTGAGGAAGATGCAGGAAGTCCAGTAGAAGGCATCGATAGAGTACTTCCATGAACCAACCACTTGAACAGATGATGAACCCTGTATTTGAGCTGTCGTCCAAGAGGAGAACCACATTGAGACCATGGTACGATGATATTCACGTTGTTTGCAGGCCGCTACTATGAGCATACCTGTGTTCCAGCCTTATGAGATCACCATACAGCTGCCTTTTGAGTCTTTTCGAGTCGAGTGCGCCAGATGCCTGGGCTGAGGTGCGCTACCTTTGGTGTGAAGATGCCCGGCGCTTTCGTCCATCGGGATTGACTGCCCCCACTGGCGAGGAGGCCTATCAGGCGCGTCTCAAGCCAGCGCATGCTTAAGATGTGCAGTGTTGGGCACAGGAACTTGAGGGAGCTTTATTTGCAGGTGATGTACTAGTTGGATGTAGCATGAATGAACTGGCAGGGTGTCCTTACTCGTTGTGGTGTGGTTATGCAAATGGTGCATAGCGTTTAGCTGTTGAAAGCACCTAGGCAGTTGGCAAGACACGAGCTGCTATGGCTTCTTGATGCAGCAGGTGTGAGTAAGTGCCACTAACACGTGCTCAGTTCGAGCGCCAGCTCATGCGGGCGTCAAGCCATGCGACCATGGCATCGCATTCCCACTGCATAAGTCGTCGGTTCTGCAGCAGTTCTGCATGCAGAACTCGTGCTCCTTACAAAGGCCCCTAGCTCTCTCTGATCCGCGGCTGATGCAATGACCTAATTGGCAGAGCCTCCCTTTGCTTGAGACATCTTGAGACATTTGTTGAGTTCAATGGAGCGACGGCGCTCACGGCTATGTTTTTCAGCTGTGGCCGGCCACGCGCCTCTGCTCGCTTCTCCGCAGCTCATGGCAACTCCGCCCGCAGCTCTCGATCTTGCTTCTCGTGGTCGCATCGTCGACTGCGTGTTAGGCTTCGTGAGCCGCATATGGAAACATCTTCTGGCTGGTACAGGCAAGGAATAAAGGAATGAGGCGTATATAAACCATCCCCTAGGTTCATTCCCAACACTTGGAACGGGTCATTCCCTACTGAGCACACGGGGACAGCAGATGTCTCCCATCGTCACTGTGTCACTTGGGAAGCCAGACACATCAACTTGCTGTCACCTGGGCAACCTGGGCTTGACCCAAGTGATCCAAGTGACACAAGTGACCCCATTTTCAAGTGAGCGCACGTATGCAAAACTGGGCCACGTTATTGGGGATTGGAAGGCAAGCAATGTCTCTATCAGCGAATCGGAGGCAGTTGCGGCAAGGGTTGAGTATGACAGCTGGACGCTTTGGGACTTTCCAGATGACACAGCGCGTTGATGGAGCCGTTTCGTTTTTTTTTCTTTTTCTTCTTTCTTTTTCTTTGTCCCCAAGCCTGTGAAGGCGCTTGATCGCGGCGGCCTGGACGAGAAGATTGCGTTGGCTCGTCTTGCAAAGCAGCCCGGATTTGTGTTAAAGTTTGGTGCCCGCCTTGGACCAGTCAGAACAGTGTGAAGGAAGCGGAGTTTCAGATGCCCCTTTTAGCTGTACACCCGCTGGCTTAGGGGCCATGGAGCCAGAGGTATCACTCTGAATCACGTGGTTTGCATGTGAAGACGTTCTGGGTTTCTGGGCATCCTACAAACATACAATTTGTGCGACTGCTCTGCAATGCTGCGGCTCTGCGGTTCTTGCGAAAGCAAACTGATGGTGGCATAGTGCTGACTAAGCATAGCGAGCGTATAGGACATTCTTTTTGGTGCATGCTCAATCCAATCGGATTTTAAAACGAGGTAGGTCCACAAAATGCTGAGACAACCGCCGCTCTTCCGGAGAACTTCCGAGAAAGCTTGAAATCTGCCCTGATCCCACATATTGCAAAGATGCTGCCCCAAGCCATTTCGATGCTGTCACATTGTACACCACAACTATAGCACAGGTAGTGCAGCATGATACACGCCATAGTTTGTCCTGAATCTACTTGCCGGTGCTTGTCGAAGGCAGACCGTTTTGTGATCTGTGTGCTTGCGCGTAAGGCAAGGAAGCAACACCATCAAAGTGAAAGTCAAAGGCATTCTGGCGTCATTGATGGCTGAATATTCAGAGCCGAATCTCGGAGCAAAAAATCGTCTTATTTGGATTGTGGATGAAGGTGGCAGGCTATTTGATGTGTATTCCCGACCGTGCTGCACATGCCAAGGACGTACGTATTTCAAATGTCCCTTGGTAGCATTTCTGAAGAGATATACCGTTTCACGGTGTGTCTTCTGTGACTCGCAAGCTTGTGGAGCAAGTGCGCTGTCGATTCTTGGACACACGGGGGCATCATTTGGCTGCTTGCCAGGATGTGCATTTGGTGCTACCTGTTCTGGAATTCCTGGACCTTGAACGCATCCAGCATGCAATCTCACTGACTTGGCGTCGCGCCGAGCATGAATGGTGCAGGAATGTTGCATTCCTCTGGGTTTTGCTGGTCTTCGGGAGCGGAGCATGGATCTCCCGGCGGCATTGGGATCCCTATTTTGCTGCGCGCAAAAGAGCCAAGAATGTGACTTGATCCAAGGACCAGCTTGATGATTCTTCGTCGGAATCAACAGCAGATTGCTGAAGCTTGGCAGGTAGGCAAGGGCAACGGCTGAAAGACACTTTTGGCATTTTATGGAATGAAACAGGCAGCGCATTGACCTGCTCCCGAGTCGAAAGCCTTCAATTGAATCTTGGAGACTTCCTTACTACTATTACCATCACTATTGCTGCTACCATGACTAGTACTATTACTAGTGCTAGTATTACTATTGCTATTGCCACTATTATTACTATTACAAATACTATTATCACTAATATTCTTCGAAGTAATATTTGACCGTCCCACCCACCACACTGAACGAACTTGCTAATTTGATCCGTGGTCCACCCGACAGGGGCGCATGGAAGAAAGGTAAGACGCACAAGTATAGCAATGCAGTTGCAGATTTTGCTGATTCACCAGGGCGCTATCGGGTAGCACTTGAAAGATCTCAAATCAAACAGTTTTTTTGCTGCAGCCAAACATTGTAGTATTAGTACTAGTAATGGTAGTAGTAGTGATAGTAAGCATTAGTACGGGTAATAGCAATAGTACTGGCACTAGTAATAGTAATAGTCATGGCAGTAGCTATATAGTAATAGTACTAGTAACAGTACTAGTACTAGACTGGTACTAGTAATGGGCCGGCATATTGTTTGTTTTGGACACTCCAGCGCGCAAAGATGAGTTGGTTGGGACAGGATGCGCTCTTACATAAACAAATTTTGTAGGCTGGAATGCGCACGTTGGACTTCCACTGCTAGTCAGTGCCTGGGGACCCACTGTTTCAGGGCTTGTTTGGTAGACGCAGGTGCTGGCAGGGAGGGCACCATTGCGTGCCATGTCCCATTTGAGAAACTCACAAAGGCGATGCTGGTCTTCTAGAATCCTAGAACCTTTGCTTGTCTCGCTTCCGTTTCCCTGCCCAAGACGTGCACTAGGAAATGGCAGCGGCTGGAGCAACACGAACGCAGAAAGTCCTCCGCAGCGGGCAATGGATGGACGCCATCTCAGGGTGCTCTTAAAATGCGCATGGCTCAGAGCAAGCCGCTGAGGATGTGAAGGTCACGGACTTGACGGTCGGGGATGTTGTTCAGGCGCCCGCATGATGTTGATGGCATTCTCCGGTCAAATCACGTTGGCCAGGTGTGTGATGGCATAGTATGCGCCGACATTGTGCTGGTGTCGGGCAGCGCAGTAGTCAATGAGCGCCTCTGATCTCGTTGATTCGTGCAGCCTTTGTCTGCTTGCTTGGCCATCCAGGCCATCCATATCTCAACTCGTGATTGACATAGCTGATGAGTTGCAAGCGTATGGTCAGTACTGCGTTGACTGCCATGATGCATGGGTTGCAAAATGCGCGCCCACGCACACGTGCACGCAAGCAGCGCACGAACGTGGCATTCACGCACATGCAAACACATGCATAAACGAACACACGCACACACAAACAAACACAAACACAAACACAAACACAAACACACAACACACAACACACACACACACACACACACACACACACACACACACACACACACACACACACACACACACACACACACACACACACACACACACACACACACACACACACACACACACACACACACACACACACACACACACACACACACACACACACACACACACACACACACACACACACGCCCCATCACAAACACAAACACAAACACAAGCACACATACAAGCAGACACACAAACACAAACACAAAAACAAACACACACCCACACACCCACACACCCCCACACCCACACACCCACACACCCACGCACCCACACACCCACACACCCACACACCCACACACACACACCCACACACCCACACACCCACACACCCCCACACCCACACACCCACACACCCACACACCCACACACCCACACCACCCACACACCCACACACCCACACACCCACACACCCACACACCCACACACCCACACACCCACACACCCACACACCCACACACCCACACACCCACACACATACACGCCGACGCACACACACACATACGCCCACACACACACATACACCCACACACACACATACACCCACACACACACACACAAACCTCACACCCACACCCCCACACACACACACAAAACCCCACACCCACACACGCACACACACGCACACACGCACACCCACACAGGCGCACACGCACACACGTGCACATGTACGCGCGTGCGCACACCGGCACACGCACGCACACGCACATGTGAACGCGCATGCGTGCGTGAAGGGCGCCGCTGCGCCGCGCGCACGCGTGCGGATCGTGCGGGCGTGAATGCGGGTGTTAGTGTGGCGGGTGTGATGGGCGTATGTGGATGCGTGTGGGTGCATGTGTGTGTGTGTGTGTGTGTGTGTGTTTGTGCGTGCGCCTGTACGTGCGCGCGTGTGGGTGCGTGCGTGGCTGGTTGCGTGGGTGTGCTGGTGCAACAGTGCGTGGGGGAGTGGGTGGGTACGCGCACCGGTACACGTACATGCACACGCACAGGCAAAGGCACACGCACACGCGCACACACACCCACACGCACACGCACACGCACAGGCACACGCACACGCACACACACACACACGCGCACACACACACATACACGACACACCACACACCACACACCACACACCACACAGCACACAACACACAACGCACAGCACACAACACACAACACACAACACACAACACACAATACACAACACAACACCACACACAACACACAACACAACACACAACACACAACACACAACACACAACACACAACACACAACACACATCACACATTACGCAACACACAACACACAACACACAACACACAACACACACACACAACACACACAACACACAGCACACATCACACAACACATCACACAACACACAACAGAACACACAACACAGAACACACAACACACAACACACAACACATCACACAACACACAACACACAACACACAACACACAACACACAACACACAACACACACCACACAACACACAACACACAACACACAACACACACACAACACACAACACACATCACACATCACGCACACACACACAAACAGCACAGACACACACTCACAGACAACACACACGCAGACCACACACACACACGAAAACATCACGCGCTCACAGAACACACACACAGAAACACACACACACACACCCACAGAACCACACCCACACAGAAACACACACACTTACACAGAAACACACACACACACACACAGACGCAGACACACACACACACACACACACACACACACACACACACACACACACACACACACACACACACACACACACACACACACACACACACACACACACACACACACACACACACACACACACACACACACACACACACACACACACACACACACACACACACACACACACACACACACACACACACACACACACACACACACACACACACACACACACACACACACACACACACACACACACACACACACACACACACACACACACACACACACACACACACACACACACACACACACACACACACACACACACACACACACACACACACACACACACACACACACACACACACACACAACACACACACCACACACACACACACACACACACACACACACACACACACACACACACACACACACACACACACACACACACACACACACACACACACACACACACACACACACACACACACACACACACCACACACACACACACACACACACACACACACACACACACACACACACACACACACACACACACACACACACACACACACACACACACACACACACACACACACACACACACACACACACACACACACACACACACACACACACACAACACACAACACACACACACACACACACACACACACACACACACACACACACACACACACACACACACACACACACACACACACACACACACACACACACACACACACACACACACACACACACACACACACACACACACACACACACACACACACACACACACACACACACACACACACACACACACACACACACTCACACACACACACACACACACACACACACACACACACACACACACACACACACACACACACACACACACACACACACACACACACACACACACACACACACACACACACACACACACACACACACACACACACACACACACACACACACACACACACACACACACACACACACACACACACACACACACACACACACACACACACACACACACACACACACACACACCACACACACACACACACAGAAACAAACAACACACACACACACCAAAGTTCCTTGATGGTTTGTGACGACCTTTGTACTTGCCAAGGAGCATGCTGACCGGGGAACCCATGCCCCTGCAGAAGGCTTGGGTTTGCCTGCAGGTTTTTTTGACATGAGACGCATTCGAGGTAGGAATCGAGCAGAATTCTAAGCTGGCGTTTGACTACAAGAGGCAAGGGAAGAAGCACGGTCTGTTTGCAGGCAGGGCACCTGAAAGCAGAGAGCCCAAAGTAGAGGAACCGTGGCCAAGGAACGGAGATCTTGCAAAGTGTTGCAGACGAAGCAGCCAATGCGAGCCGTGGATCTACCTTTGCTGTTGGAGTGGTGATGGCAATCGGCGGAAGGACGACCAAAGGCAAACTCATTCGAATGGTGCTCTATCCTGCCATGTGGCAGCAGTGGTGATTTGTTGAGAGCATTTGTTGAAAGTGAATCACTGGCACTTGAAACATATTGAACCCTTGCCAATTGACCAACCCATCTGGAGCTCTGCGTTTTTTACTGATGTGCCAGCACTTGTGAGAGAAGGCGTGCAGATGAGCAGATCATTGACACACTGACGATTCCCAAGGCAACCGTGAAGTTCAAATACACAGAGCAGCTGCCTATCGTTTACAGCTTCATGACACTTTGGGTTACCTAGAAGCACTGGCTGCATGGGCAGTGGGTGCACAGCATTTGGTTTGACTCTGCAAGGCGATGATTTGCTTCGTGAACACCTTGCTGTTCCAGGGGCAGGGTTGGGTCAACGGCTGCTTCGCAGGCGAGGCCGTTGAAGCGCCTCGATGCTCCGCCCGGCTCTCTTGGCTCTCGTCGGTTGTGCAGGCATGGCCTTCCTCACTCAAGCGGTGAACCCGATGATGGTGCCATGGCAAGCAGTTGGCACGTGCTGTTTTCTAGAACTTCCAAGCATCCTGAGGTTGTTATATGGCCATGGGCCATGGGGCTTCATTTGGGGGTGGATGAACATCCATTTGCCACCTATTTTGATGTTCACCAGGGGTACAGGGGTTTTGACCCAACGCCATATACATGTGTCACCATGACTCCCAGGCCGTGTCCTTCACCTTGGGCCAAAGCTGTAGCGCGGGGCGGCTGAGCGAAGGCGGCATCGCCTGCCTGAACATTGGAAGGCCGGAGCTCGGGCCGAGCGCGGCGATTTGTTCTTGTGGCTCAAAATTAAACGATGGGAGGGGTTACGCGGGTTTTGGTCCATGTTTCCACTTACCAGGGCAAGCCATCTTGGTACCGGTTTTTTGAGCCACAGCCATTTTTTTGCCTCTTGTCGTGGGAGGATCCCCGTTGCTGGGAAGATCAGCACCATGGTCTTTGACAAGACAGGCACCATCACTTATGGAGGCAGGGAAGCTGAAAGGCAAAATGAGTGTTTCCTAGAGCAGGAGAAGGTTCCAAATGCCACCAAAAAGGGGATGCGCAACTTTGACCCGGAAGTGATGATGATCACTTGCCGCATGTTTTCTGAGCTCAAAGGATTGTAGGCCTCGAGGCTTGCTTTGCAGCCATGGCAATAGCATACCGCACAAGCCAGGGATCCACTGCGCTGCCCTCCAAAAGCAGGCGAACACCTGTCCGAAGCAAGGCGCAGACTGGTCAAAGTGCACTAAGTGCGACAATGACCACGTTGAGACGACCATCCTCAACACCTGCAGCAGGGGGCCAGAGGCCCATGACGCGATCCATGGACAAGCAGCCTCTACAGTACTGGAACCAACAGGCCAGAAACTATGACGATAACATTTTCTCTAGTATCGACGAAGACGCAAATGGGATCATTGCCCAGGTCATCGAACGCTGCGGGGACATAGATGCGGAGGGGCCTCGGAGCCGTTGCATTGACCTGGGCTGTGGAGCAGGCAAGTATCTGCCAAAGCTGGCGCGGCACTTCAAGACAGTGGACGCCTATGATCTCAGCCCAAAGCTTGTGGCACTGGCAGAGAAGGAAGTGAAGAAGCAACGCATCCAGAATGTCAGAGTTGCGGCCTTAGTTGCTCAGGGAATTCCTGCTTGAGCATAGTATGCAACCTGCTATTCCAGGTCGGTTCCTTGTGGGTTTTTGAGACTCCGCGGCTTTTGCTCTTGATTAGCTCTTGCTTCTGTGGTGCCGCTCAAATCTCCATCCAATTCCTCCAGCTAGGGTCGGAATGGCGATGCGATCGCTGTCCGCCGCCCATTTTTGGTTGCACATTTGAATGGCGGTGGGTCAAAATCAATGGCACCATGTCGGGGTAGATGAATTCACCACCCGTTTTAGAACCTATTTTAGTGGGGATTGGGATGTTCATTGGGGGTTACCGGGCTTTTAACAAAAACCCATGGCCTTTTGACCGTGACCATTGCACGCTGAGGTTTCGGTTCGTGACCTTTCTCAAATCTGGTACCGCAATGATGCGACTTCTGCTCAGCTGGGCCATGTCACTGAGATGGAGTCTTTCGGCTTCGCAGTCATGGCCAACGTGTTGATTGCGCCGCAAGAAGCGAGTCTCCATCAACTGATGCTGAAAAATGCATATCGATCTCTGATGCCTGGGGGTCGACTTCTTTGCATCGTACCATCATGGGAAAGTGCGATGTATGTCAACATGCGCTGTGATGAGGAAAACTACGATGGTCCATATTCGGTGGGTGCAAATGGGGAGAAGCCGACCAGAACTGAGGGTGCCGACCTCTTGTGCGGAGTGCTTCGGAGATCCGGGGTTCGCACCAAGCACTTCTTGGAGCCCGAGTTTCAGCTCCTGGCATCCCGAGCTGGCTTTGATGTTGCCATGTGCAAGCGCGTGTCATACACCTGGCGATCAGAACTCGGCCTGGCTGCAGACTGCCAAGTGCCCACCAGACTCAGGGAATCACCACTGCCCTGGGATTGGATGTTCCTCCTGCAGCGCGGTAGAGATGTGGCAGAGCGACCTGGGTGGCACGCTGTGGATCCACTTGCCAAGTCTGACTCAGAAAGGCTGCTGCCAACTTTATTCCAGAAGGGACGTCCCAAAGAGGAGGACATCTCGCAAGATCTGATCAAGTTGGTAGATAGCCAAAAATCATTTTCCCGACCGCATAGTCGAGCTAGTCCAGTTTCACACTGATTACATAGATTGTTGGTTTCACTGATAGAGGCAATGTCGAGCAAAGGCAAACAACATGGGATTCTGCGTGCTTGTCGCTGGGACATGATGGCCTATGGTCACTTTGGGAGGGATGTGGGGACTCGCCATATTTCCCACCACAACCAGAGGAACCTCCTTCATTCTCTAATGAGCGTGGCAAGTTTGCAGTTGTACAATTTCTGAAGCGTTGTCAGTATATTTTTCTTGAATAAATTGCTATCATGGGCCACAATAGCATCACTGCATCATGAGGAGAAGGTTTCAACTATAAATGTGTCACATACACCACACAGAGAGCAAGGCAACGCCATGCCCCTAACCAGGGGCACGGTGCAACCATTATTTAATTACACGCAGCGCAATACGCCACCATTGAAGAAGAAGGTGCTTCCCCAAAACAGACACACACACACAGATACACAGATACACGTTCAGGACTACCATTTGGCCATGGGTCAAAAGCCCGGTTATCCCTCGGTGAACATCCCAATTCCCACTAAAATAGGTTCTAAAATGGGTGGTGAATTCACCTACCCCAAAATGGGAGCCCATTGGTTTTGAACCATGGCCATTTGTGAATGAAGGTACACGTGCCTCTGCTCGAGCACTTTGCCAGGCATGGACCTTGCAGCTGTGAGACCAATCGCTGATTCGCGTTTCCAAGAGGAGGCGGCATGTTCGCAGGGGAGGAATGGGGGGTGGGAATGGGGGGGTGGGAATGGGGGGGGGGAATGGGGGGGGGAGGATGGGGGGGGGTTGGCCGGTTGGCATCTCAGGTGGCGGCTCCAAGCGTGCCCAGTCTGCAGCACGAGATCTTACTACAGGCGCTGGCAAGCTGCTTGGCAACGGACGTGGGCGTTGCATGCTGACTGCGAAGGTGCCTTGCAGCTTCGTTTGTCTTTTCTGCCAGAGGTTGTCACAGTCTTTCGACCATGCATGATGGATCATTGGTCGGCAACCAGGCTGGGCTGCACTCTTTGGGCAGAATGCACACATTGGCGGGGTAATTTAAGGTAACACAAACATCAAACATCATTCGCACCTCAAGAGACATCCTCCAACGGCTGCAAGATCATTCCGTTTGCATACGCCTAGGGCTAATGGCTTGCTGGTGCTCAGTAGGGAATGAGGCATGAGGGAATGAACCCAGGGGTCTGCTTAGAGGAAACCACAAGGGATGATTTATAAGGGTCATTCCCTAATTCCCTGCTGAGCACCAGCAAGTAGGTCTAGTAGCTCTCATGTTGCGTGGGAGTAGGCTTCACCTGCGTCGGCAAGGTGGAGATCGTCACGCTGAAAGCATTGGGCTGGCAGCTTTCAGCACCCGGCGAGCCACGTGTCATCACATCACCTGATGGATCACATCGTTTGGTGGCTTGGTTCAACACAGACTCCAAGACCTGTATGGTCACTTGAGTCGGGCATGAACTCCTGCGATATGGACAGGCGGTCGAATGCCGAGGAAGTGTTGCGCCAGCTGGAGTTTGACCATCATCGAATGACCAGTGGAAGTGTGGTTCGGTGTACGAACTCAGGGCGCCGCTCGGCCAACCATTTAATTGTTCGCTGCATTTGAGCCCCCAGCCCACGTCAGGTGTACTTGCTTTCTGCAAGGGCGCCTACGACAAAATTTCGCAGAGCCTTGGGAGCAGCCTGCGACTCATGGACTGAGCGCTAAAGCCAGACCTGTGAGGATAGCGGATGCCTCAAGCGTGCCAGCTGACTACAAGGACGTTTGCCTGGCACTGAGCACTATGACTACGCTCCCCTCCACTAACATAGCACCTGTGGGAGGGTACCTGGAAGACCATGTTCCTGCAAAATTAAGCGTCTGGTGGGTTCCATGCCTTTCAAATTAAAGCCTCTGGTGGGTTCCATGTTAGTGGAAAAAACAATCCTTGACTTTGCAAGGTGAAGCTTATGCCGCTCAGTGCTTCTACGTGCTGTCGGTGAGCTTCAAAGAGCTTCCAGCGCACTCAGCTGTAGAAGAGATGACCCGGGACTCTCTTGAGCAAGGTGCCGTGGGTGCTATGGATGGGTGCTATGGGGGTGTCATGGGTGCCATGGGTGCTATGTGTGCTATGGGTGCCATGGCGTGTGCAAGGCCTGCAGCTTTGCGGGCTTTTGTTCTTCAGAAACGCCTCGGCCTCAGCTTTGCCTTTGTCGGTTCAATAACAAGGGAGTTTTCAGGAAATGAAGCCTGACAGCAGAGAAGTCATCGAGGACATCTCGGGATCAAGCAACATTCGGCCAAAGCATAATAATTTTTCAAGAGTGGCGCTGACTCTGTATGCAAGGCTCGCATGGCGTGTTGGCATGTGAATACAGGAGCTCGTAGATGGCGGTCATTGCCTCAGTGGCCTCCCTGTGCCCAGTTTCCTTCCTGCTTGCGTCGGCCAAGGCATCAACTGTGTCATATGCACAGGGGATAACACCACCACCGGAGTCAGCATCGGCCGTCAGTGCAGCATTGTCTCTTCCAAGTCCCGCGTACCTATGCGGCAAATGCAGAATATTGCCATGGTGGGTCCTGCTTCCAAAAGAATTGAATGCAACGGGGCACTTTCAGTAGAAGCAGACTCTGCAACAAAAGACATTCAACTTCGATCAAAGGTCCTTATTGGCGAGATGGAAGATGCTGTCGGCGGTGACGTGCGGTGGCGTGACGCTGATGCGAAGGATTGGGTGACACGAGATTGTGTTCCTGGCAACCAAAATGTGGCAGGATGCCAAAATCCCAGACTGGAGGAGTGTGGCTGGATGTGAGCCCGGTGCCCAGACCTTGTCAAGAGACTAATGCGCATTGACGAATTCGAGGCTGGCTCTGAGCCAATCAGCATTCAAGTGGCCGCTCGCCTGCAATACGCGGTTAAATCGGGACAGGGATTTCCGTTTGTTTTGGGCCGAAGCTTTCCCTCAAGGGAAGTCATCTCCGAGTGTAAAATATCCAAAAAACATCTGGCCCAAAATTACAAATTTTAAATTTTTTACAAATTAATTTGTAAAATTTGTAAAATATCAAAAAATCTGGCCCACAATTACAATTTTTACAAATGTTTTTCATATTTTACAAATTTTACAAATTAATTTGTCAAATTTGTAAAATTTGTAAAATTCGTAAAATTTGTACAATTTGTACAATTTGTAAAATTTGTAATTTAATTCCTACCAAATTCCCCTGGAAGCTAATTTCTCAGACTAGAATTTGTAACATTTGTATTTTTGGAGAATATTTTCTTTACCTTACAAATTAATTTGTAATATCTGCAATTTCATTCCTACCACATTCCCCTGGAAGCCAATTTCTCAGACTAAGATTTGCAATTTTATGAAATCAATTCCTATACAAGATCTGCCTGAAAGCCAGCCCTCAGTGTGATGTTGATGCCCAGACCTCTCCCCGGCACATTATACATACTCTTCCCTCTTACGGGGGGGGGGGTGGTCAAAACTAGGAGCGCGTGTAAAAAAGGTTTACACGCCCACTGCACCGTGTTGTGCATCGAGCGCGCGTCAGAGTCGTTTTTTCAAATACACCAAACCAGTGCCCTCAAGTGCAGGTTGGTGAAAGAGAGGCCTGAGGAGCTGACGGAGATGCTTCCCTTTGTTAAGGCCGAGACATGCGGCGGAATCATCAAACATGGCTGCTTGAGTCAGGGATGTAAGCAGGAAAGGTACTGTATTCCAGCGTGCGAAAATATATTTGAGCAACCATCGTCGGCAAACATGGTCAGCTTCCATCGTTCTCTTCGAAGACAAATAGCAATTCAGAGCAAGTATGCAATGCTTGATCAGGTCTTTGGAAGGATGAAGCCAGATGAGGCTTAGCTGCAGCTAGAAGAGTGCCGACGCAGGAATATATAATTTATGTGCTGGTATTCGGGCCTGCCAAGACAGCTTCAATTCTGGTCATTTTATGTTTGCAGTTTCTAATGTATTTGGCAACTTGCTTTGCCAATATCCATTCAGATAAATGGTCCTGGTTCTGCATGAAATGATTAGTCTGCTAAGTTATGTGGAAAGTTCGTCTCTTCCGACTTCCTCACTCGTTGACTTGTGCCATGCAAGTTGAGTGCCTTCTTTGCTACAGTGGTGCTTCGTACGCAGCTCTAATTTTCAGGAAGACATAGGAATCGCTCGACCCGCAGTCTCTTTTTCAATTGGGAACTCGCGATGTTTCAGAAGTCTGAAACAGAAACATGTTTTGTTCTTTGCTTCAAACAAAACGTGCTCTCCGCACATTAGCATTTTCTTGCCAAAGACATCATCACCTTCTTGCTCACTCATGTTATGATTCTCATCACAACGTACATTGCACCGTAAATTGCAGCGCATGAGGACAAGATCAAGGTCATTAGCCTGTGGCAGGAGCACGGTGCTGATGGGGCCTGGCACTTGTTTTTGGATGTGTGAGGTCAGCAAATTGCAAGCCCCTCCAACTCTTGTGTTCCGAGCCATTGCGATCCTGAGACAGTGACCGGCATGACTGGTGACGGTGGCAATGATTGCGGAGCACTGCGGACAGCCCACGCTGGCATAGCGCTGTCAGAAGCTGAAGCTTCCATGGCCGCTTGCCGTTCTAAACAAATTTAACCATGCAATTGTAAACGCTTGGAAAATTACCCGGACTCCTGCGGTTTCGGCTGGCTTTGAAGGGATGGCGCTTCGGCTCTGGAACTCCTCCAAAGGCGCATGTTTGTAGCATAGCAGCCCAGCAGCGCATGTGCGCGAATTGCGTGCCAAGAGCTTGAACTCCAGCGGCGGTTGCCGGTCAAGGAGAGTGTGCGTAAGCCTCCGGTATTGGCGCTAGGGCTTACATGTGGCTGGGGCCAGGATCAAGGATTCAGAGGGGCAGGGCTGGGCCGCAATCACGGGCCTTAGGGCGGGGCTGAAGGCGCCCAAACAGCCCAGGCCAAGCCCCCAGCCCGGCCGCGCGCGCGCGCTCTCGAAATTGCGCAGGACAAGGGTAAGGGGGCTGGCTCGCTTCGGGGCGTGAGGCAATTAAACCAAAGGCTGAGCCATGAAGGGGGGGGGTTGGGCGGAAAGATCGGGGATGTGGTTTGAGAAGATGCCTATGATTTTAAGAAGGATCTGACTGCTGGGCCCAACCTGGAGCTGGAGATCCACAATTCAAAGCAGCCCGCAACCAAGGCCAGTTGGCCAAGGCAGGTCAAAGGGGTGAAGAGGGGCTGGGAGAGGGTGGCCCTGCCAAGCCGGGCAAAGAGACTCAAATGATGGGCTTGCTTAATGGGGGGGCATCCCTACGATCTCAAGTGCGGCTGAGGCAGGCAGGCTCGGCGGCTGGGCCGGGGCCAGGTGTGGAAGCTTGTCGGGGGGAGCTCGCTTCATGGGAGCGCGAGGCAGCTGGATCAGACGGAGCCGGGCCGCGCGACGTGAAGACGGGGGGTGGGGTGAGTCAGCTGAAAGTGATTTCAAGAAGTACTGCGTCACGACAAGATCCCGACGATCTAAGAGGGGCTGACCGCTTCCCGGCCCTGAGGGCCAAGGCGAACTTCAGAGTTTTGAGCTTTTGCCTTTCCCGTCAAGAGACTTTCGGTCAACGCCTTGGGACCTGTTTGTCTTGTTTATCCATCTTAGCTATGCCTTTAGCTCCTTTTTGTAGCTTGGCTGAAAACGGCCCCGCGCTGGGTTAGACAGATTTGTATTGCACATCCTTGCCCAGGTGTCTCCTTTCAGCAGCAGCAGGGGCTTTGCGGAGAAAGGTTGCCTGAAGTGCATTAGACACCTTCTTGTTGGTGTATGGCTTGTCGAGAACGGCCGGCCATGTTTGTGCATTGATGATGGATGTAGCAATGCATCCCACGACGTGCATGGTCTCCTGCACCGTTTATGGTCTGAAGGCAGTCAAACAAGCAAATGTAGACAGTTTGTGACAGGTTTCATCAGCCTGTCTGCCGTTGTGGAGCTTATAAAAGAAGGGCGCTGCTGCTTGGTGTCTTGGACACGAGCAACCCCTTCAATTAGTGTAGGCAAGCAACAGTTCTGATTGGTACTGTGAGGCAACCAACATGGCAACTTTCATGTACTTCATGGTCTACAACCTGACATTGACCTCGTCCAAGATTGCAGTCATCACCTGGACAGACTCTACCTATTCGGAGTGGCAGTTCATCATGACAGACGTCGGCTTGGCTATGATCATGGTGTCGCCGTTCGGCAAGGTCTTTTTGCATAGTCAACATGTCAGTCTGAACTATGGGATCACACGCAGGAATTCAGCGGTTTATTCAGTCCACCTTAAGATCCCAAAAGTCCTCTTGTCTTCTTATTGACACCATGCCAAGGTTCATGGTCAGATGTCGCCCTGAGAAAAAGCTTGCAGCGACCTCACCAAGTGCATCCTTATTTGGAACAAGCACGACCGTTACAGTCCTCAGTGCTACTAGACTTCATTCCGAGCCTTACAGAGATTTCAGAGTCTTGCTGAAGCAGAGCTTGTTTGAATGTTTGCAAAGAAGCCTGCTATGCCTGCAGGCGCTACTCATATACTGGCTCACAGCGGGCATTGCGTTGCTGCTGTTGCAGTATGGCCCCGGCAGATCCTTCTATGAGCCCGGGGGCCAAGACTGTTTTGCGCGTGGCCACAAAAAGGTGCGGAAACCTATATGGCCATGGCTCAAAATCCAAATCGTACCCCCAGTGAACATCCCACTCCCCACTAAAATAGACTAGAATGGGTGGTGATTTCACCTACCCCAAAATGGTATCATTGGTTTTGACTGACCCACAGCTATATCAGGCCGTTGTTTTTGTGCGTGGGTAGGGGATCAGAGTTTGCCTGAGGTTCAGCACCACCATCCTTTCCGAGATTCCAACACAGGAATGGACAAGGAAGTCGGACAACTATTTGATCGAAACTTGGCAGCAGTAAAATAGCAACGAACTGGATGTCGGAGATACATTCCACGAGAGATCCTTTGCTCAGCAGTACGCATGTTTCCAATGAGTCATTGCAACTTGGCTTTCATGCTTCTCTGAAATGAAGGCCACCCTGTTTTTAGTGAACCTCACCGTGCTTCTCAATACTGGCTTTGTGCTGCTTGGAGTAAACTATGTCGCTTCAGGAGTGCTTGTCCAACTTGTTTGGGCAAGGCGCCAGTCCAAGGTTATGCTATGGTCACGTGCATCGGCAAGTCGTGAGCGCCCTGTTTAGATAGAACCTGCGGGTTGCAGAGCGCTGGCTTCGGCTCCAGCCACCTAAGCCCGCCTGGCCAAGGCAAGAATTGGAGGATGTGCACTTTCTACTTTGTGGGCATTCTTCTTACCCTTGCCCTTACTT